TTTCCAGATGTGGGTTCTTTAGAAATGTCAAGTCTTCTGCCACTTGCTACCTCCTCTGTCATTGACTGGAGAATTGTCCTTCATGATCTCCCATTAGCAGTGTCCTTTGTCCACCCTTTTCTCTGACCTTCAAGTAGATATCCTACCTTCTTCACTGTTGATTGAGTGCTTAAAGTATGATTTCCTCCTCTATTCAACCGCTTCGGCTGTCTCTGTCTGTACATTCATTGCAACCTATTGCATTTCATTTATACTAGATTGTTATAATTTTAATTCTCTCACATTAAGTCCTTCCTTCCCACACTACTCACCTCATCTTCTTTGAAGAGTCCCCCACCTTATTCATGTCATTCATACTTTCCTCCACCCCCTACTCCCCCAGTTCCCCTTTCAAGGAATCTCTTATGAAAACAAGCTTTGTTTCAAGCCCTCAAACCTCCCAAACACCTCCTTCCACTTCTATTATCTTTTGCTTCTCCTCCTTTTATTGTATTGGGTTTTCTATTTCTTTGCATGCTTTCTTCTAACTCATCACTACTCTCTCCCAGATCCTTTGGTTTTTAATGAGGCACCAGGCTGTGAGCTGCACTCTGGGAAATCCTCAATAGGTTTCTTGTGGAATGCTTATCAAGGCTCAGATTTCCAGAACTTCTAGAACAATTCCTGGTTGCCATCTCCACAGGGTGTAGGTAGGGCCCAGCATGTCTGCAGAGTACTCAGTCTGTATGAAGGTTCAAGGAAAGAGTGCACAGGGCATTGAGTGACACCTGCCCATGTTTGGGCTTGGGATTTCTTGATGCAGGCAAGGCACATCTTCAGTAAAAAGGTAAGTTGTATACCCTAATATTAAACATTTCCTTTATAAAGTTCAATCTTTCCTGCAACTGGCTTTAAATTTAGGATAAGAATTATAAAAGTAAAAAAAAAAAAAAATAAGGAAGGAGGAGGGAGTGTGGGAACGTGGGTGGGGAGTATCACTGTGCTCCTCAATCTACATATATGAAATAAAAGAAATTTGTTCACCTTAAAAATATATTAATTAATTTAAAAAATGTAAAAAGAAAGAAAGAAATGGCCCACAGAGGAAGAGAAGAGGTGCCTTTCTCAATTGATGTGAAGATCTGGATCTCAAGGTATATTAGAATTCTTGTCTGAATATCTTTCCTGGCTACTGCAGCAAGGCCTGAGGTCTGACTCCCCAGTGGCTCCAGTCCTGGGCCAAGCCATCTGCTCTGGTGTGTCGTGTGTCTGGTTTCTACCCAAAGCTTGTGTAGGTGATGTGGATACAGGGTGACCAGGAACAGCCAAGCACTCAGCAAGGTACTGTTCTACCCAGCGCTATGGGACATGGTATCTCTGAATAACCCTGGGTGTGGCAGCTGGGGAGGCAGCTGGCCTGTCTTGTTGAGTGAAGCACAGCAGTTCAGGAGGTTATGACATCATCCTCTACTGGGAGAGAAAGAACTGGGGCCTGGGCTGGAAATGGGAGGAGGTAAGCTTCAAACACTTTAGGAGATTTGCTGAAAATGTTGAGATGTTTGTGGTTTCTTTTTTTTTTAAGATTTATTTACTTATTTGAAAGTCAGAGTTACACACAGAGAGAAGGAGAGGCAGAGAGAGAGAGAGGTCTTCTATTCACTGGTTCATTCCCCAGATGGCCACTTCAGCCACAGCTGCATCGATCCAAAACAGGAGCCAGGACCTTCTTCTGGGTCTCCCACACAAAAGTTGGGCCAACTTCTACTGCTTTCCCAGGCTATAGTAGAGAGCTGGATTGGAAGTGGGGCAATTCGGACTTGAACCAGCACCCAGCTGCTTTACCTGCTAAGCGACAGTGCCAGCCCCTTTTGTGGTTTCTAATCCAAAATGAGTAAATAGGTAATCCAAGGATCAGAAGTGAAAACTGTGGACCCTATAGGGGTACAAGTTCATGTCTTGGCTTTTCTGCTTCTGATCTGTTTTCTTGGTAATGCACTTGAAGAGGCAGTTGGTCATGGAACAATATTTTGTCCTCTGCCACTCATGTTGGAAAACTGGGTGTAGTACCTGGCCCCTCATTTTGGCATGGCCAAAGCCTGTGTGTTGTGGTAAGTTGGGAGTAATTAGTAGACCGAAGATGGGTCTCTCTCTGTCTGTCCTCCTCTAACTGTCATTCTGCCTTTTGATTAAGTAAATTAAAAATTCTTAAAAAATAAAAGATGAGGAAATGAGCCACCTGTAAATGAAAGAAGATGTTAGGTTTAAAGGATGGATTCATCTTTGAAGAGGAGTGAAGTACAAGATAGGAAGAAAGAAGAATGGTGATGTATAAAACCAACTGGAGAGAATCTAGGGGATGCAGTAAATAAGGAGGGGATAGGGCACAACAGGGGATGGATTTGCACTAACATCCTGGGTTTCCACGCAAATCCACAGAGCATCACAATTTTGTCAGCTGCATCCTCCTGGCAATGATAGTGCTCCAGGATCTGCAGATAGGTCTTGCATTTTGGTTTGAGAAGCAATGGTGATGGCCAGTGCCTTGGCTCACTTGGTTAATCCTCCACCTGTGGCATCAGCATCCCATATGGTTGCCGGGTTCTAGTACCGGTTGCTCTTCTTCCACTCCAGAACTCTGCTGTGGCCCGGGAGGGCAGTGGAGGATGGCCCAAGTGCTTGGGCCCCTGCACCCGCATGGGACACCAGGAGGAAGTACTTGACTCCTGGCTTCGGATCGGCAAAGCTCCCATCGTAGTGGCCATTTGGGGGGTGAACCAATGGAAGGAAGACCTTTCTCTCTGTCTCTCTCACTGTGTATCTGTCAATAAAAAAAGAAAAAAGAAGCAATGGTGAATTCTTCGTATTCAACTGTCTCTCCCTGTTTCTTCTCTCAGCTTCATTCTTTTAAAAATTTTCTTTTCAGTTCTCCTTCTCCTGAATTCATACCCTACCCAGTGCAGAGTGGTTTTCATCTCTGATCTTAATTTTTCATTCCATGATACACCATGGATTATTCCCCCTTTGAAATGAGAACCCAGCAGCCCAAGGGCTTGGGATATACCTGAACACTATATGGGTGACAGCATCTTCAAATCTTTTTATATGATTTTTGTTGCTGTTTATTTCTGCCTATTGATCAGTTATTGAAATCAGATAAAGGTGACATACAAGGATTTATTGTTCTGAACTAGGTTCTGGGGTTTTAAAATTCAAGTTTTAATTCTCAGTGGACTAGAGTCCTAGCAGCCTCAATCTGTTCAGTTATTAATGGATCATCAGGTTCATTTCATTCCTTTTTTTTTTTTTTTTTTTTTGACAGGCAGAGTGGACAGTGAGAAAGAAAGACAGAGAGAAAGGTCTTCCTTTGCCGTTGGTTCACCCTCCAATGGCCGCCGCCGCCGGCGCGCTGTGGCCGGTGCACCACGCTGATCCGATGGCAGGAGCCAGGTACTTATCCTGGTCTCCCATGGGGTGCAGGGCCCAAGGACTTGGGCCATCCTCCACTGCACTCCCTGGCCACAGCAGAGAGCTGGCCTGGAAGAGGGGCAACTGGGACAGAATCCGGCGCCCCGATTGGGACTAGAACCCGGTGTGCCGGCGCTGCAAGGCAGAGGATTAGCCTAGTGAGCCGAGGTGCCAGCCCAGGTTCATTTCAGATGTCAGTTCCTCCAAAGTTTCCCTGATTCTCCAGTGGAAAGCAGTCTGTCCCTTGTCTAAACTCCTGCTGCATCTCCGCTGTGCTTTTCTGGCTGTACCCCTTACTCCCTATAGCTTTTGTACAAGTATTTATGTCACTCTTCTCATCTAAGTTTTCAGCTCCTTGAAAGCAAAGTGCATGTTATGTATATGTATATGTATATATGTATATATGTATACCTGTCCTGGGTGAACCCATCTCTGATAATATAATAGATTAAAGATGGACAGGTAATCTATAACTTATAGAATCATCATATAGATCCCACTTAGACTTGCTCAGAGTGATGGCCCAGGGCTATGTAGCTGTCCTAAGGTGGATCAGTTTGTAAAAAGCTTTGTTCTTATGTTAGATGGCAAAGAGATATGCTGTTATGGATGATATGGTGTTAAGCATAAAGTCTGAAATAGTCAAGTCATTTTCTTAGCACTAGAGAAGCAAATTAACAAATGAAATCAAACAGGTGAGAAAGCAGACGCAGATCCGTGAAGAGCCCATGGTAAACAGTGCCCAAACCATCAGGACTCCTAGATTCCTCATTAATTTCATGCTTTATCATTTCAGACGGTCAAGTTCACTTGGTGACCTAAAGTATCCCACGTTCTGTGCATGCTCTCCCATCCTCACTCTGAGTACTCTTCTGACTTTTACTCTTGGATCCAGCATTCTTCTCCACTTGTGTCCTTCTCTCTCTTCCTGAGATTGGGTATTCCTTGAAGCTGAGTTTATCCCTTTTCCTTTTTTTCTTGTGTGTGCCCTTATGCTGTTTAACCTTCTGCACTTTCCTGCTTTAACTATGTTATCTGTTTCAGTCCTTCTCCTGGACACTTCCTATATTTCTGTCAAATCACAGGCCAGGAATCAAAGTGTGGGTTCTGCTGCTGGGAACATAAGGGATTTGGAGGAAGGTTCCCTAATCTTCGGACTTTTCTTCAGTTCAATGAAAGAAAAAATGCTCTGAGGTGTTTGAAAATGGAAAGATAAGCTAGAACAAGTACTTAATAGAGCATTTAACATCACAGCAGGCACAATTAAAATCAAAATACAGAACTCTTTTTATCCCCATGGATTTCTTCCTGACAAAATTTGTTCATTCGCTCATTCATTCATCCTATATTTAGCTTTTGCTGCTGGTATGACCAACATATTAACTCTAAACATTGCACACAGTCTCGTTCTCCATGTTAACTCCTCCTTTGATGCTTATATTTTATTTCAAAGAGTTAAATCTCGAATTTGCGTACCCATTATTTCACAGTTTTTCTGTATGCCAAGACATTCACTTTAGAATCTCTGAAAACTTTCTCTCTCTCCTCTCTTACAGGGCCTGATAAACCCTAAAACAGGATAACTATTGTTCTTTGTCCTTTCCTAATATATGTTCCTGTTGGTCTCCTAAGCAAAAGCTCTGCCCCTGTCACAGCAGTCCATATTCAGAAACGGTAAGTGTCCCCTGAGCAGAAACATCCTCTTTTAAGAAAGACTTTAATCCCCAGGTTTAAACTTTAAGGCAGGTTTGCAGTCAGACTTGAAGGAAAGTAGAGACTGTGTATAGACTTCTTGGGATTTCAAAATCAGGAGGAGTTTGTTGTGTTGCTAGATTTATGAGGCCGAGCAAGGAAGTAGTAAGGATTGACCAGTTCCATTTGAGATAGCAGCTAAGGAACTGGGTACAAAGTACTCTGAACAAAATTGATAAATACATATTAGAGAAAAGTGTTTGGAAGGCACTTAAAAAAGTGATGAATGAAATACATTAATGCTTGAGACATGTAGTATATGATCTTTTGCTGTAACTGAAGTTAAACACATCAAGCAATCCCACATTTGTAAAGAACACATGGAAATAAATTGATACATGAATGCAATCAAGTATGGGAGAGGCAGGGGAATGGAGATAAAAGGGAATGAATGAATGAGTGAATGAATACATTCATAAATAAGATAGTTTAAAGAAGTCTGACCTGGCCAACTGATATCCCTGGGATAGAGGAGTGGGAGTAACACAAGATTTGCATTTAAGATTCTCAAGACAGAACACAGCACAACAAACAAAAATTAGAAAATGTTTAGCTTTATTCCATAAAGGGACAGAATTGGAACAATGGATTGCACCATGGAAACCGTCTCATGGAAGATAGCAAAAATGTATAATATTGTATGAATATGTATATTTTGAAGTACAGATGAAAATGTCAGGATTTTTATAATCATCTCAGGCTATAGATTGGGAGAAGATTCTATATTTAACCTTTTGGGGGCAGTATAGAGTAAAACAAAATTTTAGCATTTTCAGTTGTCAAGTTGCTCCCAAATCTATGCTTAAATTAAAAATAACCTTTATGTCTAAAAATAATTTAAAATTTCTTACAGAAACAAGTACATGATATGAAAATATACTACTAATAATATAGAAATAGGGTCCAGAGTAATATAAGTCCAATAAAGTAAAAAATGGACTGAATTTTTAAAAAAAAAATGCCGTGATGATCCTATACACTGGCCAGATGTGGGCTGAGTTACCTGTCAGAGTATCTAGAAGACACATACAATAAGAAGCTTGTCTGTACTTGGCCATGAGGAAAAAAAGGAAATTTGTGTCATAAGGACTCACAGAAATTATTGGAGGCAGTGACAACAGTCTCAGGAAAAAATTTTAAAATAAATTTTAGAGGGTTCACAGGCCTGAATATTTTTTTTTTTTTTTTTTTTGGACAGGCAGAGTGGACAGTGAGAGAGAGAGACAGAGAGAAAGGTCTTCCTTTTGCCGTTGGTTCACCCTCCAATGGCTGCCAATATTTTAAGTCTCTTAAAGATGATTATGGCAGGCTACAGCAAAAACTGATCAAAATAACTCCATAAAACAACAGGTTCTGGCCTTGGGTATAGCTCTCCGGGAACTGAAGGATAATTTTCATTTTATCTTCTGGAATGAATAGACCTGAAATATTACATTCATATAATTGATGCTGAAATAATTTAAATTATTGTTGAGAAGCAGTCTCTTTTTTGTACTCTAACAAATTTTATTTAAAGTGATTTTTATTATCTGTTAAATGAGTTTTAACTTTTTAAACACAAACTGTTTATATTTATTTAATGATTTAGTAACCTGAGTTTTCAATTTGCAACAGGAAATCTCTTGCGGCGTTCTTAGATCTAAATGAACATTGCTGCTTCAACCTCAGGTTTGTTCCAAAGAGGCTAATAAACCCACCTTGGGAGCACCAAGTTTTTCTGGATACATAAACTTGGCTCTGTTCTAATGCAGAGGCACTGGCTGGACTAATTACAAGTTCCTTTATCCCAAGGCTCAGCCAATTCTAATTCAGAGAGAATAGAAGATATGACTTTAGACAGGAAAATATTTAAGAGGTATGACTTTTAATATGAAGATAATGTGTTCTGAAAGTGAAAATACCCATGTGTCTAAACTATTGTTTCCTGTTTGTCCGTTCTCATGAGACTGTATACCATTTCTATATCTACCCCTCTAAATGAATGGCTGGCTTGCCAAGCAGTAATATGTTAGAGATCACTGGTTGTTTCCCAGATGTGTTTTTCACTTCCTCTAGTGCAAGGTAATTCCTTGATTATTAGCTATGCAGAATAAAAGCTGTATTTCTCAGCTGATTGTGGTCACATTTGTCAGCTGATTGTGGTCACATGACTACAATCTGAATGACAGAATTTATGATTTCCGCAACGTGCACCTGAGAACATGGAGGAATGTGTGCTCAGTTCTTCCCTTCTTGTGGCTGGCTGAAAGTGGGGTGTGATGGAAGAAACCCGGACAACCACCTCAGAGTGTGAGATGCCTTTTGGAATGATGACCAAGCATGATGTAGATCAATAGAGAACAAAGCCAAACCCAAATAAAATCCCCTCAAACAAAAGAGGAAACTGGGAACCAACTTCATATGCTGGAAAGCCATAACAACCATGCCTTGCTCTCTTCCAGTCTTTACAGGAGAAAGAACTACGGTTACAAATTTTGGAGGATATATTGGGTAGACTTATTTTTTGTCACTTATGGACAAATGTTCTAGCTAATCCAAATTGTCAATTGAATATCAATTAAATCAGTATCTTCTGTTTATGAAGTTTTTACCTGTTGCTCCTATTTTTTATTTTCAGTCAATGCATGAAAATTGTACTTATTTCTGAGGCAACATGCAACATTTTGATTCATTTATACTTTATGTAATGTTCAAGTCAAGACAAACATATAATATATCCTTAAACATTTAAACTTTCTTTATAGTGAAAATATTCAAAATTCTTTAGTTTTATATAAAAAGTGTTATGGCATGTTATTGTTATCTACAGTTATTCTACTGTGTAATAGAATGCCAAAACTTCTTCCTTCTATCTAATTATAATGTAGCACCTACCCATTTAACAGCCTTTGCTATTTCTCCTTGCCCTAACCTCCACACTCTCCAGCTTCTGGTAATCTTCGTTCTCCAGTCAGCATCATTGAAATCAACTTTTGGACTTCCCCATGAGTCAGAGAATGCAATGCTTAGCTTTCTGTGGCTGTTCTATTTAGTTTATTGTTATGACCTCCAGTTGCACACAAACTGTTGTAAACAATTCTTGGCTATTAGTACTCATTCTTTTGAAAAATATATATTCATATCCTCTGCTAATATAAAAGCCTTGGGGATTTATGAAGGAATTAGAAAAAAGGAGTGATTTAGAAAGCTGTTTCAATGAAATAATAGCAAGAAAGTTCCCCAATTTGTAGAAAAATACGGACATTGAAATACAGGAAGTGATTAGAAACCTAAATAGGAAAGATCATCACAATACATTATAGTCAAATTTGCACTTTATTATTAAATGATTTACTTATTTATTTTAAAGGCAGTTACAGAGAGAGGGAGAGAAGGAGGGAAAGAAAGGGTAGAGAGAAAGAGAGTGAGAAATCTGAAATCTGAGAGAGAGAGAGAGAGAGAGAGAGAGAAACCTTGTCAGCTGGTTCGTACCCCAAATGGCTGCAAAGGCCAGGGCTGGGTCAGGTCAAATCTGGAACCCAGAACTCCATCCAGGTGCCCCACATGGTGACAGGGGGCATAAAACTTAGCCATCTTCCTTTACTTTTCTAGCTGCATTAGCAGGGATCTGGATTGGAAGCAGAGCAGCTGGGATGCAAACTGGTGCTCATAAGGTATGCTGGCTTTGCAAGTGATGTCCCAACCTGCTGCACCACAATGCTAGCCACAATGTAGTCAAATTTTCAAAGGTAAAACAGAAAGAGAAAAACAACAGGTCACTTTTAAAGGGTCTCCCATCATATTGACAACAGATTTTTCAACAGAAACACTAAAGGACAGAAGAGAATGGACAGCTAACAGTCCAGATTATGAAACAAACAAACAACAACAACAAAAAACCCTTCCAACACAGAATACTTTACCTGTGAAGCTTTCATTCATAAATGAAGATAAAGGAGAGTTCTTTCATGACAAACAAAAATTGAACATTCATCACCATCTGAAAAAATTCATTGCCACCCAATCAGTCTTATAAATGATACTAAAGGATGCACTACATAAAAAGATACAGAAACAAAGTCGATATCATGTGAAAAATGTGAAGGCAGTAAGTCCCCAGTAAAAGAACAAAAGATTCAAAACAAACAATAGTAACTTTAGGGAAAAGTAGCTGAACTAAGTCATTACACAATAATGATGACCTTGAATGTAAATGGGTTAATTCCTCAATTATAAGAAACAGACTGGCTGAATGAATTTTTTAAAAAAACTATTGCTATAAGTCCACAGCTAACATCATATCCAAGAATAAGAACCTGGAAGCATTTGACTAAGATCCATCACCAGACAAGGATGTCTACTGTCACTGCTTTTATTCAGTATTGTTCTAGAAGTTTTAGCCAGAGTCACTTAGGCAAGAAAAAGAAATCAAGAGGATACAAATTCAAAAGGAACAAGTCAAAGTATCACTGTTTGCAGACAGTATGATTATGTAGGGGGAAACAAGAGACTCTATTAAGAGACTAGTAGAATTGACAAGTCAGTAATGATGTAGTATACAAAATCAACACACAAAAGTCAATAGCATTATTACATCCCCAAAATGACCTAGCTGAGAGAGATTGAAAATACCAGCCTCATTTATAACAGCTACAAAAATTTAAATACCTTGGGTGTAAATTTCACCAAGGGTGGGGCAGTCCTCTACAATGAAAATGACAAAATACTAATTAAAGAACTAGAGAAAACACACACACACACACACACACACAAACACATACACACACAATGGAAATTCTTCCATTAGCATGAACTGGAAGAATTAATATAAAATGTCCCTACTACCCAAAGCCATTTCCAGACCCAGTGCGGTCTTCATCAAAATTTTACTGATTTTCTATGCAGAACCAAAAAAAATTATCCTAAATTCACATAAAAAAATCTCAAATAGCCAAAGCTATTTTAAACAACAAAATGTAAACTGGAAGCATGAAATAACAGATTTCAAGACACATTGTGAGGTTATCATCAAGAATCCAAACTTAATATCTGAAACTATCAACCGCCCAGAGGTAATCACATGGGTAACACTGCAGGACATTTGCCTAGGAAACACTAGGCAAAATTCTGGGGAAGACGCCCAAATCCCAGGTAATTAAAGAAACGTTAATGTCAAGCTATTAACCTTCTGCACAGCAAAGGAAATAACAAAATGAAGAGACAAATATCAGTATGGGAGTAAATACGTGCCAACTGTGCATCTGATACAGGGTTAATTTCCAGAATATATGAAGAGTTCAAGACATTCAATTAAAACAGAAAAAAAATCCATTTAATAAAAGGGCAAAGGACATGAATAGATATTTTTCAAAAGATAAATACTAATGACCAAGAGATATATAAAAATTGGCTCATTAACCATCACTGAAATGCAAATAAAACCATAATGAAGTATTATCTGAATCTAGTTGCAATGGTTATTATCCAAAATCAATAAATGCTGGCGAGGGTGTGGTGAAAATATAATCATAATACTCTGTTGGGAAAGCAAATTCATACAACTATTATGAAAAAAATTATGTAGATTCCTCAAAATATTAAAATGGATCCACCATATGACCCAGCTATCACACTTCTGGGAAAATACCCAAAGAAAGTAAAATCAGTGTACAAAAGAGATAGTTGCACTCTTACATTTGCAGAAGTCCCATTCACAATAGCAAAGATATGAAATCAACCTAAAAGTGGTATGATTAATGTTTTTCATGTACAACATCACATCATCTACAAACATGAATACTTTTCACTTCTTCCTTTCCAATTCTGATGCCCTTTATTTCTTTCTCCTACATAATTGCTCTTGCTAATACTTCCAATGCTACATTGTATAAAAGTGGTGAAAGTAAAATCCTTGTCTTACTCCAGGTATGAGGGGAAATGCTTTCAGCTTTGCACCAATCAGAATAGTAATGTTTGTTGATTTGTCATAAATAGCTTTTATATTTTTGAAGTTTACTCCTTGTATATCTAATTTTTTTGATCATGAATGGATATTGAATATGATCAAATGCTTTATCTGCATCTATTGAAATGATTCTACCATTTTTGGTCATCATTCTGTTGATATGATTTATGAATTTATTGATTTTCAAGTTTTGACTCACTTTTGTACCTGGGATAAAATTTCAGTTGATTGTGTTGTATGATCTTTTTGATGTAGTGTTGGTTTGGTTTACTAATATTTTGTTGAGAATATTTGCAACTGCATCCATCAAAGATATTGGTCTGTAATTTTCCTTTTATATTGTGTCTTTGATTTTGGTGTCCCAGTGATGCTGGCCTCACATAAAGAGTTTGGCAGAGTTCCATTTATTTCAATATTTGGGATAGTTTGGCTGTTTCTTGGTGTTGCTTGGAAGGAGAAATTGCCAGCCATGTGATTATATACTGATTAAGGGCATAGTTTCATTTATTTTTGTTCTCTCAGCTCTCTGCCTCTCTGCTGAGCCACCTTCCTGGCCTGCCCAGGTGTATTCTCTCCCTTAAACCATGTAGCCTTGTTCTCCCCGGGGCCCAGTGACTGGGTGCTCGCTCTCTGTCCCTTCTATTCTGATGGATGCCCTATCCCCAATAAAGCCTCATCACTGCTCTCTGTCTCATGCCTGAATTCTTTCTTGCATGAAGACAAG